TTCGAATCTATTTAAGTACGATCGTTGATTCCAACCGCGATGACTCCTCTTGACAACGAGTCCGCACCCCCCAGCGACGCACCCGACTCCGCCGCCGATGCCGACGCCGACACCGAGGTCAGGGGTCCAAGTCCTCCAAAAATTATAGCGGTCTTTGCGGGCGCCGGCTACCAGGGACCTCTCATACTTAAAATATTTCGCATCCCAAGACGTAGTTACCTTAACCGGACCCCTTCTATAGCCCCGCAATTTATATATTATCCTTATTATATATAGCTTTCTTTACTATTTAGGTTAGGATTTATATATTTATTTCTTTTTATATTTTTATATACCTCCTTATATACCCTCTTCCCTTATCCTAGCTAGCGTTTCCTTTATCTAAGATTTTACTATAGACCTCTATAGCCTAGCTATTATAAAGTTAATAGCTTAATAGTTTTTATAGGATTATTATAATTATAGTAGAGCTTATAAGGACGTAATAGCTTTCGCGGTAAGGCATTTATTATAGGTATAGTAGATAGGTAACTAGGTAGATCCTATTACGTAACCGTAAATCGGTAATCACGGTCCTATAATTACCGATAGGGATTACTTTCCTATAATTACTACTAGATAATTATAGTATAGTAATTATAGAACCGTGATAATTAGCTTTTATAAATCCTAATTATATAATTAGGGATTATAATATATATAGAGAACCCCTATATCCTCTTATAATAGGGAGGGATATTTTAATATAATACTATTATTCGAGTATTTAAGATCTAAGATTATTAGTCCCCGTAACCACGACTATATTACTAAGTATATAGTTATAAGGGGCTAGTTATTAAGCGTTGCGCTAGAACGAGGCCTTTAATATATTATTACTAGATAAAGAATAAGAAATCGAAAGATTACTATAATAGCCCTTTATACTATATTTATTAAGAGATAAGGAATTATATATAAATCCCTTAGCGAACTAGCTACTAAGGTATAGCTTTAGCTTTATAGCTTAGCTAAGTATAGCCTATAATAATATCCCCCTTTATATAGGTTTATTCTTTTAAGTTATTAAGCTTTTTAAAGTAAATCCTCTTATAGTTTTAATATTATTACTTAGTTATCGAAGTAAATATAACTCGTTTTTATAGAGAATCTATTACTTTTACTATATAGTTTCTTTATCTCTTTAGTTAATTTCTAAGTTCTTTACTTCTTTTAACCCTATCTAATAATACTATTATTATTAAGAGGGCTTCACTGCTTATATAAACCCTAATCCAGTACTTCCGCTATACTTACGAGCTCTAAATAGGTAGGGTATCTAATAAGTCTTATAATAGTTAATTCTTAATTTATTCTTTTCTAAGTTACTACTACCTTTATAAGTTAGATATACCTATCTACTTTTAGCGATTATATAAGCCATAGTTTACGTACTCCTAAGAGTAGTAGATCCTAGATATCCTAGATATTACTATCCTAACTATAGAGTTCCCTAATATTAGTTTAATAATTATTATTATTACTTATACTTCTATAAATTATTATTCAATTATTAAGAATATTATATAAATTAGCTAATTCTTATTAACTCTTTATTAATTAATAAATAAACTTATTATAATTTATAAGTTATTTTTATAGTTCTTATAGCTTATATATAATTTAGTAAGGGGCCCCTTTAAAAGCTTATAGCTAGCTATATAAGCTCTATAATATTATAGGATATTTATAGTACTATAGTAATAGTCTAACCGATACTATATTAGAGTCCTAGATATATAGCTCTACTATTGGTGGAGATATAGACCCCTGTAAATAGCTGTTCTTAGTGTATTTTGGTGTTCGGTTGGGGGGTGGTGCGTCTTATTTACTATGCGAAAGCGTAAGGGGTTCACCGTTGCACCCCACCAGAAAACCCACCAAGGTCCTACCCAGGCTAAAAATGGCGGACCGAGTACTTGTAGCGCCGCCGTCACTGTCGAAGGATCAAGCCAAGCAAAGCCCCTGCCCAAGCTTCACCCTGAACCCCCCCTTGGCTCCTGTCGCACTTGGCCCGAAAGCTTGACAACGACCGCATCATCCTGCCTCAAACGACCACCTGCCTCGTGCTCCTTGCACCCCGACATCATCGGCGCGGACCATGCCCGAAACACCACACCCACGAACAATCCTTCGCGGCCACAAAGCTCAAGTGCACGCTCTCGCCTTTGTCGGCAACAATGACCGTCTCGCCAGTGGTGACGCCGAGGGCTATGTCGCCCTCTGGGACCTCACCATCATGAGGCCCACAGCCGTCTGGCGACCCCATGACAATGCTATTCTCGGCATTCAAGGCTGGGGCGCCGACCGCATCATTACGTGCGTCGATCCCGCCGTCTGACGGCCTGAACTGGCTGCCCGACTTGGAAGCTCTCTTCCCCCTTTGATGCTCGCCAAGCTCACACGAACACAGACATGGCCGTGATCACAAGCTAGCCGTATGGAAGCTCGCCACGTCCGATGAGGCGAACCTCAGCAAGAAGCTCCCCCTCGACGACACGTCCGAATCCCGCCCCCAGCCCTGGCTTCTGCATCTCATAGACGTGAACACTATGAACTTCTGCGCCTTTGCCGCCTGCGTCCCCACCGATCCCCCGCCCGCCGGCGACGATCCCGAGCTCCTCCTCGCCGTCCCCAACACGCTCGCCTCCGAATCGGTACGCGCACCCTACCTCGCTAGCCTTGTCTCTCATTCACTGCTGAAAATAGCATTTTCCGCCCTTGGATTGCTGTTCATGCCACGTGCTGACCAACGCGCAGATTGACATTTACCACCTCCCCACCCAGACCCGTCGCCACACGGTCAAGTCCCCCGGCCAAAACGGCATGGTCATGGCCCTCGCCCTCGTCCCGCAAGGCGGCTCCCTGACCCTCCTCGCCGGCTACGAAAACGGCGTCACGACAGCAATGCACCTGTCCGCCGTCAGCGGGACGTGGAACACGACGTACCGCGCCCAGCCGCACAGCCAGCCCGTGCTCTCCCTCGACGTCAGTCCCGACGGGCTCTCCTTCGTGACGTCCTCGGCCGACGCCGTCGTCGCGCGGCATCCCGTGCCGCCGCCCGCGGGCATGGAGGTGCTCGAGCAGCCGCTCAAGGTGGTCAACACGAAGCACTCGGGCCAGCAGAGCCTGCGGTTTCGGGATGACGGGCGCGTCTTTGCGACCGGCGGCTGGGACGCCATGGTGCGCGTGTACTCGGGCAAGACGATGAAGGAGGTTGCCGTGCTCAAGTGGCATGAGGTCGGGTGCTATGCTGTTGCGTTTGCGGGTGTGCTGAAGGCACCGCAGGCGGCTGGTGGTGCTGAGGAGCGTGACGGCGCCGTGGCGCGGAGGGCGGGAGAGGTCAGTGTCAGGGAGAGACGGATTGCGCATGCTGAGGCGGCGCACTGGCTGGCGGCGGGCAGTAAGGATGGGAAGATATCGTTGTGGGATATCTTTTGAGCGTTGCAGGCGAGAGAAATGAATGTGTTGGCCGAAATTGACTACTGCAATGTGCATGGGAGGCTTCATGGTCGACCAGAATGAGGCTTGGTGGCAGTCCTGACGACGAGTTTGATGTTAACCTAGTGAGTACCAGTGCATGTCGGCTCATTGGTGTAATACTATGCTTATGGCTTCATCTTGAACTCGTGTCATTTTTGAGGTCTCCGGGAAGTCAGCTAATTTCGAGACCGCAGCTACAAAGAATATCTCCAGTCAGGCTGGTGACCATCTTCTCGGCACAGCGGCCACTGAGACTGGGGTGATATATTTGTCGTACATCTAACAAAATTGACTAGACAATCTGATCTGAACCAGCCATTGGGCAGGTAAATGAGTTCGAGTAATTTTTCTCGTGTATTATCTAACATTAAAAGAAATCGAGCTAGTGCAACGTCAATCCTGGAGTCAAGGTAGGTCTGAACCTCACCACGTGGTGGCGACCTCATAATATAAGGGCATCTATGTAGGTGGTGGTATTCGCCGACTCGGAGACCGAGGAGGCTGAACAGCGTAATTAGCGCGTGGCGGGGTTGCAGATCAACGACGAGCCATAACCATCAGGTTATTTCATCGTACCTCAATCGCGACAAATCAGTGGGCTGCGGTCGATTTCATGCATCGACCCTCCAGTGTAAATGCCTGCAGTAGCAATAGTCTCCTCATTAATCATGGCCAATATCAGAGCTTCATGGACCAAGCTCGCCGAAAGCCAACGGCTTCAGCGTTCCTCTCAAACCATTGCTGTACTCGGATCAGCTGCGTACATATTCGGCGGAGAGCTCCTTCCCAGAGAACCCATCGATAACCAGTTCGATGTTATTAGCCTGGGTGAAGGCATGCAGTGTTCTCATTCCGTATGAGCGACACAGCTAACATGTCCAGGCACGTCATCTGTCCAAACGATTCCCGCACCCCAGAATGCGCCCTCGCCTCGCGTCGGCTCATCGTGCGTGGCCATCAAGGATGCCCTCTATCTGTTCTCCGGCCGCGGCGGCATCGCCATGGCGCCCGTTGAAGAAAACGGCGCCGTATGGCGGTATACGCCCGCTGACGGCAGCTGGACGTTGATCACGCCAGCGGACCCGTCGGTGCCGTTTGTCGATGGGCGAAGTTATCACGCAGCGACCTCCAATGGCGTGGACACCATCTACATTCACGCTGGATGTCCCGAAAAAGGCCGCAAGGCAGACCTCTGGTCCTTCAACGTCGAGTCGAGGACCTGGACTGCCCTGCCGGCCGCCCCGCCGCCGACACGCGGAGGAACATCAATCGCGTTTTCCAAGGGGAAAATCTACAGAATGAACGGTTTCGATGGCGAGCATGAGCAGGGCGGAGCCATTGACGTGTTCGACATTGCGCAGGAGACGTGGTCGACCATCTTGTTCCAGGCAGATGGCATCCAGGGGCCCGAGGCGCGCAGTGTCGCTGCTCTCGTCGTTGTCCGGTCACAAGGCAAGGATCTGCTCGTTACGCTCTTTGGCGAACGGGATCCCAGTGCACTCGGTCACGCTGGAGCAGGAAAGATGCTCTCAGATGTCTGGGCATTCGACATCGACCACGAAATCTGGACGAAGCTCGGTTTCACAGACGAAGGCGACACCCCCTCCTCGCGCGGCTGGTTTGATGCCGATGTGGCGCACAAAGAGGATGGCACTGACGCCATCATCGTCCATGGAGGTCTCGCCGAGGACAACTCTCGGCTGGGTGACCTCTGGAAGCTGCAGTTTGCCTGATGGAGCTGATTTATCATCACGACCGAGTATGAAGCGTATTACATAATGCAACACATGGGAATCGTTCGAGGAAACGCACTTTTGCCTCTTCCAAGATCATGTGACTCATATTCAGACACGAGCGCGGGGCTGGCGGGGGCAGGCTGCGCTGGCGTTGTTTGGGCTCGAGTTGCTTATCTTATCAGGCGGGGGCGATAGTCGAAGAAAAAATCCAGAATGAACCCCTCCATATCGACGTCCTGGCGCCCACTTCGTCATTGTCACCGTCTGGTTTAAACTAGGCGCCGGCCATCTTCAAAGGAAACTATACATTTGCGTGTGTGTGGATTTTTCCTTTCCATCTCTTCGACCGACACACGAAAAGCCAGCTCGAAGGCTGCAATTTTTCGACCGCTGTGCGCGTCGGAGCATCTTTGCGTCCGTCGACCCCTCGGCGCTCAACCCCACCACCGAAGCGAGACATCGTCGCCAGACCGGCACCAACCCAGCCATGGAGTTCACCAGGAAGACGACTGTCGCTACTGTGCTCTGCCACAACTGGTGAGCCTCTGCACTCTGGTGTCTCAAATTCTTTTGATCAGTGTTAACACCTATGCAGCGGTGCCCCTATTGACGGCTCGACCGGTACCATTTGCCAGGCTTGTCTGCGACTGACTTGCGATATCTCCAACGGCGTCCAGCGCGAGGCCACTCTCACATTCTGCCGTGACTGCGATCGGTGGTTGCTGCCTCCTCAGTCATGGTGCGCCACTCTTGTAGCTCACAAAATGGCCATCGCTGACGTGTTCTAGGATCGTCGCCCAGCCCGAGTCTCGCGAGCTCCTTGCCCTCTGCCTGAAGAAGCTGCGAGGCCTCAACAAAGTCCGAGTTATCGACGCTTCCTTCGTCTGGACCGAGCCGCATTCAAAACGTATCAAGGTCAAGATCACGATTCAGGATGAGGTGCAGGACGGCGTGCTGCTTCAGCAGGCTTTTGAGGCCATCTACGTCGTAGCCTATGCTCAGTGCCCTGAGTGCGCCAAGAGTTTCACTGCCCACGGTACGTCCCTTTGATCGCGCGCAGTGTAGATGCCGACTAACATGGACCAGTCTGGAGATCCGTCGTCCAGGTCCGACAGAAGAACTGCCCTCACCAGCGCACCTTCCTCTTCCTCGAGCAGCAGATCCTCAAGCACGGTGCCCACAAGGAAACCCTGAACATCAAAGAGGCGCCTTCGGGCATGGACTTCTTCTTCGCGCACAAGAACCAGGCCGACAAGTTTGTCGACTTCCTCAACGCCGTCGTGCCCGTCAAGGTCAAGAAGTCGCAGGAGCTCATCTCCCAGGATGTCCACACCGCCACCAAGTCCTACAAGTTCTCGTCGTCCGTCGAGCTCGTCCCCATCTGCAGAGATGACCTTGTCGCGCTGCCGATAAAGCTGGCCAAGCAGCAGGGCAACATCACGCCCCTGGTTCTGTGCCACAAGATCGGTACCTCTGTGTACTTTGTCGATCCCAGCACGCTTCAGATCTCCGACGTCAGCTCGCCGGTCTACTGGCGCTCGCCCTTCCAGTCGTTGGCCGATACGACGCAAATGGTTGAGTTTGTCGTCATGGACATTGAGAGGACCGGTGTCACCCGCGGAAAGTGGGCCGCCGCCGAGGCGACGGTCGCCCGTGCCTCTGACCTTGGTGTCAATGACACTACCTACTTTGTGCGCACACATTTGGGCAACCTGCTGCAGCCCGGTGACTCGGCTATGGGTATGTTATGCTTCCTTACGTGCGCTCCTGAGGGGTGAACGCTAACAGGCTTTAGGCTACATGATCACCGGCACCAACTTCAACAACCCCGAGTTCGAGGCCATCGAATCCTCCAACACGTACAGCTCGAGGATACCGGACGTCATGCTCGTCAAGAAGCACTACCCGCGCCGCAAGAAGAACCGCAAGCGCCAGTGGAAGCTCAAGCGCATGGCCAAGGACGAGGGCGAGCTGCTGCCCAAGCAGGCCGACCAGGATCGCATGGACGCCCAGTACGAGCAGTTCCTGCAGGATGTCGAGGAGGACGAGGAGTACCGTGCCACCATGGCGCTGTACAAGTCTCAGCAGCCGCAGCGGGTGGATCCTGATGCCATGAGCATCGCGGAGACGGAGGGCGAGGATGAGGGCCCGAAGGTCGACATGAATGAGCTGCTGGAGGACATGGACGAGTTGGCTATCCGCGAATAGTGTGGGAACTTGGTAGATGGAAAGGGACCAGAAGCCTTGCCTGAAATGCATGAGAGACGACGAAATCAGGATAAGTGTCGAATGATGAGTGACATGGGATTATCAGGCGCACACTGAATACCACGACTCCTTGAATACGCTCGATGATGCATATATTCATGAAAAGGCAAAACGCTTGATTCCCTTCCGCTTTAGTTTAGAAGATCTTGCTCAGCACCCTTGTGACGTGCTCCGGCTGCGAGTCTGCCCCCGTGTTCCTCTTAGCCAACGACACCTGCTTGAACGTCATTGGCCTCTCTTCCGACGCAGCACCAGCCTTCGACGGCTCGCCGTCCTCGCCGTCCGCCCTCTTCCTCTTCTTCTCTTTGCTCGCCTTGACACCATCGATAACCTTTGCCCTCTCAATGTTGGCCACAAACTCCTTGTTCTCCTTAGTCGTCCTAGCAATCTCGGCGCGCATCCTGCTCGTCCTCTCCGCGTTCTCGCCCGCAATCTGCTCCGTCAGGTTGTTCCACTTGAACCCCTTCAGATAGAGCAGGTTCCAGATGTCATCGCGGTAGTACGACCCCTTCTTGCCGCCCAGCGGCCGCGCGTTGAGGAGCTCGCACGCGCGCTTCGCGTCCTTCTTGTTGACGAACTCGACCCAGCCCTCGGTGAAGAGGCGCTTCTTGTTGCCGCCGGCGCGCACCCGGCGCGTGTGCGCCGCAGGGTCCTCGGGCGCGAGGAAGATGCGGTTCAGGGCGCCGTGCGGCGTCAGGAGCGTGCGCAGCTTGTGGGGCTTCATGTAGGGCGGGATGCGGGACAGGTAGACGACGCCGGACTTGCGGATGGCGGCCTCGGAGGCGATGAGGTTCTTGTGGGAGAGGGCCTTGGAGGCCGGCGCGGGCAGGGACGGCTTGGCCTTTTTGGAGGACTTGGATGTGCTGTTGTCGGCGTCGGCGTCGGCGTCGGCGGCGGAGTCGGGGGCGTCGCTGGGGGGTGCGGACTCGTTGTCTGAGAGGATGTCTTCGTTGTCGGATTCGTCGAGCTTTCTGCGCTTGGATGTGCGGCCGCCTTTTTGCAGGGTTTCGGCTTCCGAATCGTAGCCCTGGCTCTGGTCGTCGTCGCTGTCCTCGGCGTCGAGGAACTCGTTCCTCTTTTCGGGAGCCATGCTCAAGGCCTTTGAGTCGAGATCTTGTACGAAAAGGCGTAAGAAGGGCAAAAGAGGCAGCAATTCTGAGCAGTGCGCGAGGTATCGAATAGTCGTGATGCTGAAGATCATCAGTCTGCAGTTGGAGACTCGGAGCAAATTTTTGGTGGATCCCCAGCGCGATTGCTGCCGGGTCTTATCTAATCGGGGAGCCTCCCTTATCGAGCAACGTCCAGTGGCGTCGCCGGTCGCGGTGCACGATGGCGGGGCACTGTTGCCCCTCAGTGATCTCACACGCCCTGAATCAGGCACCGCATCAACAAGTGGTGGCCACAAACGTTTGCCTCCTCCTCAAGAGGAGAATCGTAATTCATCTCTCCATCTACAAACACAACAAATCACTTGACCAACATGTCGCTTGAAACCTTGACCACCATCTCGCCCAGCACGAACGAAGGCATCCTCACCCGCAGTGGCATCTCCCAGGCTGACTTAGACAACCTCCCTATCACCGCCACCACCGCTTTTGAATCATGGCGCAAGACGACTCTCGCCGAGAGGCAGGAGATCGTCAAGAAGGCTCTCAAGTCTCTCGCCGACAAGAAGGATGATCTCGGTCAGGAGTTGACCGTCCAGATGGGCCGTCCCATTTCGTACACGCCTGGCGAAGTGACGACCGCCATCAAGCGTGCCGACTACCTCCTCAAGATTAGTGACGACGTTCTCAAGGACACAGACGGCGAGGCGGAGAAGGGGTTCAAGCGTTTCATTCGCAAGGTTCCTGTGGGACCTATTCTTGTCATCTTTGCTTGGAACGTAGGTTGCACTAGCCCTTCCCCTGATGTCTCTCCCTTGGCTGACCATCGGCAAGTACCCCTACCTCATCTTGGTCAACTCGCTCATTCCAGCGCTGCTGGCCGGAAACACGGTCATCCTGAAGCCGTCGCCCCAGACCCCCACCATCGTCGAGCAGGTCGCCAAGAGCTTCGAGGAGGCGGGTCTGCCCTCGGGCGTCCTGCAGTACTTCCACTCCGGTTCTCCGACGCAGATTGAGACCATTGTCCGCAACCCCCTCATCAAGGCCGTCGCCTTCACAGGCTCTGTCGCCGGTGGTCTTGCCATCCAGTCTGCAGCCTCAGACCGCATTGTCAATGTCGGCCTCGAGCTTGGCGGCAAGGATCCCGCCTATGTGCGTTCCGACGTCGACGTCGCCTGGGCAGCCGAGGAGATTGTTGACGGTGCCATTTTCAACTCGGGCCAGAGCTGCTGCTCGATCGAGCGCGTATACGTCCACGAGAGTGTGCACGATGCCTTTGTCGAGGCGGCGCAGAAGGTCCTGGCGGGCTACAAGCTCGGTGATCCCTTTGACAAGGCCACACAGGTCGGTCCCGTCATCTCGAAGCGCTCAAAGGAGACGGTCGAGGCGCACATCAAGGATGCCCTGGACAAGGGCGCCAAGGATGCGACGCCCGAGAACGAGTCGTTCGCCAATCTGCCGCCCAAGGGCAACTTTGTCAAGCCGACGCTGCTGACGGGCGTGGACCACAGCATGACGGTCATGACGGAGGAGACGTTTGGCCCCGTGCTGCCTGTGCAGAAGGTGTCGAGTGACGAGGAGGCGGTCAAGCTGATGAACGACAGCGAATTTGGGCTCACGGCAAGCATCTGGACCAAGGACACGGACAAGGGATACGAACTGGCGGAGCACGTCGAGGCTGGTACTGTATTCGTCAACAGGGCTGATTACCCGAGTCCCGTACGTCTGGCATGTTCCTCGAATCTCTTGTTTCCCAGGCTAACAAACATTCTTTCTTTCCCTCTAGGATCTCGCTTGGACCGGATGGAAGAACTCCGGCAAGGGCGTGACGCTCAGCCGGTTCGGGTTCGAGGCCTTTGTCAAGCTCAAGAGCTTCCATCTGAAGGACTACCCGAAATGATGGTAAAAAAAAAAAAAAAAAACTCAGACATGGGGCATCGCCTTCATGTTGGCCGCGACACGAAAGGAGGGGGAGAGAACACCGGCAGTTGTTAGAGAGGTCGTCACAGAGGCCAGGCCCAAGCCCCCTCGGCTATCTCGATAAACTAGGGGTCCGACCTGGAGAGACTCACTTCAGGGAACGACGTCGAGACCACGGAAGACTCCGAAGTCGTGATTCAGATGGCGAGTGTTTGTCTTGCCGGTGATGGTCAAAACACACCAACGATTTGCTTTTTCTTCGCTTAAAGTCCCTGCATTAATCCTCATGACCCTGATTTTTTTTTAATGTTTTCTTCTCCCAATGGTTCGTGAGATGAGGCCCAGCTGGAGAGGGTGCTAGACATAGAGCATCGCTTGCCGCGCTTGGGCTCCGGTTTGGAAGGTCGTGTGAGACCCGAAACCCGTCACCCTGGTAGTCGGAGGAATTGGGACGAACACGGAAGCTGCGTGATGCGAGCACCAAGTCAGGGGGACGAGCGCACGCTGCCGCAAGCGTCTCTTCATTCCCTTGTGTCCGAGGACGCAAAGAAACAGAATGCCAGTGGAGAGGAGGGAACCCCGGTGGTGAACCCTCACGAGGCCGCCCCTGACTGACTGTGAGTCGCAACGTTGGCCAACGCCCGCTTGCCCACAACGATGTCTGCAACCGGCGGTTTTGTCACCTTGGTTGGCCCCGCCCGTCATGATCTACAGCATGTAGTCCAGCGTCTCGAGTAGATCTGCCATCAATATCGCAAGCGCAGATCGCTCGCCCACGATTAATAGGGCCATCAACCTGAATCGGGCAGGCTGTCCCCAATTCAGGCCAACCGACCGCAGGCCACCGAGTCCAATCCATGCATCACATCTCCCGCATTCATCTAATCTTAACCCGACACACGCTTCCTCTGGCTTGAACCACCCTCACTCCCCAATCCATCCAACCCAACGCCTGCATGAACGATGGCGGGGGCGGGCGAGCGAGAGAGAGACAGCACCAACGCAACCCCTCTCCGCGCGTGGCAGGTCGCCCCAAAGAGAGACAAAACCCCCAATCTAGAGCCCTCTGGGTCCTCTTAGGGGCGCCTGAAGTAGAGTGGTAGCGAGTGAGCGGGTGGAATGGGGGTGAAGAAGGTCCAGCCAGCGTAGCATCTGAAACCTGAAGCGGCTCCCCCCCACTCGAGACCTCACGCGCTGTGAAGCGCTGTAAGATGGTGCCTGGGCCAGAACCTTTAGCAGCTGGCGAGCCGCTCACTCACTACAACGGGTTGGGTGAGGCCCGTTCTCACCACCCGTCCGTCCCCCCCCAAAATCGAAACAACAATATGAGGGAGCATGAGAGGACAAACGCACGCGGCAGGTTTCAGACATTGGCCAGGAAAGGAGAAACCCGCGCTCACCTCCTCTCTTCGCGGCTGCACAGAGACAATGACAAAGGGGGAAAAAAAGAACATGCGCATGATGACAGCGCGCGGTCTTCTCGTTCTCGGGGGTCGTTCACCCTTTCGTCGCAAGCGAGCCCTGTCGTGCCTTGGACCCTGCATCCCAATACCGCCCCTCTGCACGCCGCCGCACGCAGACACCGTCTGCGACGCATGAACATTCCTCATCTCGAACGAATCCGTCCCAAAGCCCACACCCCCTTCTCCCCCTTTCGTCCCAAGAGACGGGACGAGAGAGAAAGAGAGAAGAGAGTTCTTTAGACACCTACACTCAACACGTACATGGCGCTAGTGAACCTGTCCAACCCACCTCTGGAACGCAGACCTGATCGTTCGCAGCCGATGGAAAGGCTGTCTCACCACAAGGGAAGAAGGTGAACCGTGAGGGAGGAAGCTATATACATCCCACCAGCACCCGTCCCTTCTCCTGCCTTTGCCTCGCTGCCCTTTCGTCATAGCAACCAGCTCGTCCAACAAACACACTCTCTTTCATTCCCTCTCTCTCATCTTGTCTGCATCTGCGACAACTTCACCCTCACTTGGTCCACAAGACAAGACAAAAACACAAACGCGAGCCCCCATCACCAACAACGCGCCCCGGCATATCGTCCTTGGTCCTGGTCTCGCCTCACGGTAGCACCAATTTATTTGCCCTCCTGGATCGATATAGTGGTTATCATACGCCACACGCGCAACCGACAGCGACAGCAATAGCAAACCGCAGCAGCAACGCAGGCCGTTCTCTCTCTCTCTCTCTCTCTTCCATAGACAACTGGAAAATCAGGAGCGAATCCTCTCCCTATTTCTTTTACAACAACTTTCACTACCGTCGACATCATGGTTGCCTTTGCTACCCAGACGAGGTCGGCTTCCCCCGATGGCATCAGGGGATTCTACATGCGGGTCCACAAGATGATGAGCCTGCCGAGGCGCAAGGAGGAGAAGCCCCGACTTGTCATCGTGAGTCTACACTTCATAAATTCTTCTGTCAGAACAACTTGCTAATCATCTCTAGTCGGCGCCCTTTGACTTTCAAAAGGTCAACATGGACCTGGCTGGCGTCAGCGCCGACGAGTACGTTGAACCTTTTTTTTTACCCCATTGGGAACGAACACCCCCCATGCTGACTCAGACAGACTCTCCCTGATGAAGGAGCAAGCAGTCGCGAGCCGCATCGGCATCTCAGACCCCGACGACGAGGAGGTCGAAGAACCAGCGCGAAGCAGCGGCATCACGGCGAGCAAGTCTGCGCCGCTCATGAGCGTCAGGCCGCGGGCCACACTATAGAGATTTGGCGTTCCTCGACGGAAACGGCGGGGGTGTCATGTTAAGATATGCTGTGGTCTCAGGGTGGCACTTGGAATGCGGCAGCCGTTTTTCCCTTGCCGGCACGCAAGGGATGGACGGTGGGGAGTTTTTGAATCGGTTTGCAGCGACGGCGTTTGATGGTTATACAAGGGGTCGGGGGGGTCCTCAGCGGACATGAACAACGGCCAGGACACTCCTGAATGGAGGGTATATCTGGATCATAGACATGTTGAGAGGGAAAATGGAGAGGGGGTTGGAACGATACGCCAGGCGATCACTGGCGGGTTTTCCCTTTGCTGTTGTCTATTGTCAACGGGTAGAAGCGAGTAACCCTTCCGTTCATTCAAGACTCAATCGAAAACTCAAATACCCCTACGTGCACTCATTACAATGTGACCGAGCCTGGGACGTTGGAGGGACAGTGGGAGCGTCCAGCGGATCGTCATGCAGCCGGCGTGCCCCACGCGGGATCCAACGCAGGCGTGCGGATGGCCCATCATCTCCACGCGAGTGCAGATGCAGAATGACGAAAGGTTCAGCGACCACACAACGGCGCGTACATATACACATAATGGTATGAGCGCTGCGCAAGTGCGTAGTGCCTGGCGGACAAATAAGTGTCCGCGACCCAAGCAAGGCACTTGTCAGACAGAAAGTCGCCGCCACCTTGCTGGCCTGGGACGATTGCGCTATGACGGGCACCCGGGAGTAAGCCGCCGCAAAGCCCGAACCGCATCGGTGTTCGGACAGAAGGCTACTATTTCCCCCCAAGAGGGCGACACACGGCCTGGTGCCCGCGCGCCGGCGGTTCATTTTCGTTCACCGTGCCCATGTGACAGGCAAAAGGTGGAGGGTGCCAGTGGTCCAGTTGCCCTAACCAAGACCCAAGAGACCTTGCAAGCTTGATTTTCTGTCGCGTGGGATCCTGGGACGGGTTGAACGGGCTGGATGCGGCGGGAAGGCTAGAGAACCGACCGGCCGACCGAGCGAACAGCACAACCCGCTTCGGGACAGGGTCAAGAAGTCCCCCATTTGTGCGACCAACAAGCGACATTCTGTCATCTTCGAGAAGATGACTGAGCAGATTGCGCCTCGTCCGTGTTCAGGGTCTCAGAGGGGCGTCGCAGATTGGATCTGCCTCGCCGGCAGAACGCAGAGGCCATGTTGTGCCTCGAGTCCTACGTTCCCCGAAATAGGGGATAATTTGATTTCAAGGGGGCTCAATCTGAAATGGCTTCTCGAAACGCTGCCATTTCGAGGTCGAGGGGAAAATCTCTGCTTGCCAGCTCGGGCGAGATGGCGGGGCGGAGGGGGGGAGGCCAAGGGCTGATGATTCACCAATGGGACTCGAGGTGAAGGCATCGTCGTAAAAGGGGGCACCGGACAGCTGGGTGCATGCCGACAGGGCCACTAGAGAGGCGGGGCGCCCGCGCCTTCCGGCTTCTCCCTGTGACATGGGCCACCTCATTGGTCCCGAGCGAGAGGGCTGCCGGGTTCTTCTCGCCATGGGGCGGGACTTGCAGGGGATGGACTACAGGGGACAGCCCCCTGAGAGAAGGCCCTGAATGGCCTGAATCTGTCGCGTGCCCCGCTGATCCGCTCCTGGTGTCGAACTCTGACAGCCCTCAGCAAGGCGCGCAATGTCAGCAGCGTCGAAGCCGCGGTGGGATGCTCAAAATGCGAAGTACGAGATATGCATACACCGCGTGGAAAAATGCATCCTCAGGCGACAAGCCAGTGTGGTCACCAGGCTGACCGTTGAATGTAACGAGAACTTTGTGGCCATGGCAGCCTGGCGCGTATCTGCGTCCCGATCTGCGGGGGAAGAACCGGCTGGACGGGAACAGAAGGGAGCGTATGGCATTGGATCCTCCGTGATCGTGTTTTTGCCCCCTTCGGCCCCTGGCCGGTGATATCGGCGTATTGGTGATGACGCGCACGTCGACATGCGGATCGAGCGCCCGGTGCGAGCGCGACTCGACGACGTCCTGATTCGGGGGTCCAGGTCCAATTCCAAGTCCTGGGCTGTCCGTAGGCAGTGCATGCCCCTGACAGCAGCTGAGTCCTGGGAAAAGGCGATTCGGCCTATGCGAGCTGATGGGATACGGCCTCGCCATGTCAAGAACAGTGCTTCTGGAGCTGCTAACCCAATGCTCTTCGGCCTCTTGGGTCATCAGAAGCAAATGCACTGCCAAAAGCAAGTTGTGGCGGGCACGGCCAAGCGGCGTAGGCAAGAGTCCGAACACCCTCGGCCAGTCGGCCTCAGGACGCGTCTTGCCGTCTGCCTGAGTCACAGCTGGGCTCCCTCGCACCTTCCCTGTACCGGCCAGGGCTGGAGCTTGGAGGGCAGGCTTCGCCCCGTTCTACCACCAATGCCGACCTGCCACTGGTGCCTTCCTCCCGAGTCCACGCGAAAAATTTCCCCAGTCTTGGATGCGTCAGAGAGCCGGCCCCACAAGCCTGCCAGGCCCTGCCATTTTCCTGCCAGCTCTTCGCCCATCACTGCTTCCTTCTTGCTCACCATCACCACGCTTCCCGCAGCATTACCGTTGGTGGCCCCTCCTCCATCCCCACCCTGCCACCCCCCCCCGGCCACGACTAATGTACAGTAGTACCTAGCGAGGGCCACTCCCCAGCAGCTACCAAAAGTACCAAGGTACCCAAGTACCTCCACCAACCCAGATCCTCCCTCCATCATCACGACCCGGGCTTCCTCGATCGCTCACCCACACACTTTTTCCTCTTCAGCGGTCCTTTCGCACATTCTTTCCCTGCATTGTCCAGTTCATTCAACACGCCATTTCTACGCCCCCCAAACCATCATTCCATCAATTAATCCGGTACGCGCGTTTGTTTGACGGCCCAGCTGCTGTCAAATGAACCTGCAATCGCGCATATACCCTTCCTTCGTGAGTGCCACCCGCACCCCATCACCGGCCTCAGGCCTTTGCTTGTCAGCTGCGCTGTCGTCTTCGAGCCTGATGCACACGGCTTCCTCGGATGTCGTGGCAAAGCATCATCAGCATAACGCTCGTGATACGCGTTGCGCTCAGCTCAAACCTCAGGCACTTTCTGAAAATGCATGTTCCTTCCTGGTCTAATATGTCCCAGATCCCCTCCCTTCCCTCCGTCTAAATGCCCACCATTTTTGGCAACCTGCACCAGGCTCTTTTCCGTCAAGGAATCGCAAAGTCGTTCGGCCACGGATACGCCCAGTCTCTTGTCGCCGTCACACACCCTCACGCCCTCAATTCCCAGAACCGACCCTCCTTCGCCCGCAGGCACACTACCCGCTTCGGTCGTCTTCAGGGCACCCACTTCCAGTCCGCCTTCAACACCGAGCGTGCCGCTGCCGGTCTCTCGCTCGACCATCGACCCCAAAAGGTCAGCACCAATGGAGGGCTAGACGCATACTTTGAGCACCTCCAGAACCAGCACGCTGCTGGGGAGGCTGGCGAGGTCGCAGAAGAAGAATGGACGCAGTTTGAGTTTCAGAAGCAGATCGAATGGAAGCCTTCGCCAGCTTCCATTCTCGTTGGCGATGCCAGGCAGCTCGCCAGCGAGGAGCAGTTCGAGGCCGAGGCCCATGCACAGGATGCAGACGTCCCGTCAGTCCCGCGTGAGGCCGAGGCAGCCCTCGCTCACATCAATGCTGCCATCGAGAAGGAGATTGAGATCAGGGAGCGCCAAGAGGCTCTTGAAGAGGCCGTGGCTGAATCAGTCAGGACCGGGACACCCATCGATCCGGCCCTGCTCGAGCGCGCCCTGACGCCTGAAATCGAGCGCTCCTACACTCCGGCGAGCATCGCACGCTCGGCGACACCCCCGATCGACCCTCAGTCCCAAACCTACGCGGACCACCTGACCAAGCTGTCGCAAGATGGTCGCTGGGCTGAGATTCCCGCCGTCTTCGAGGCCATGCTCGTTGCCGGTGTGAGGCCCATCGCCGGAGCCTACAATGCGCTGCTCATGTCGCGCATCCAGCTGACCACGGAGAAGAACGAAATCGTCTCCAAGGTTCGCGAGGTCTATACTCACATGCTTCAGCAGAAGGCCATTCCCGATAGTGACACGTACAACATCCTTGTCGGATTCCTTGCCTCGCGTTCTCTCGAGGTCGCTTCGTTGAAGAAGGATCTCGAGGACAAGCGCGTTCGCTTCGGTGGCATGGACGAGCCTGGCAAGTTCATGTTCGCTTCTCAGGAGTTCGATCACGCCATTTTGTCCGAGGACGATCCTCTGGACTGGGCCATGAAGTTGTTTGAGACGTCGGTCACCACGTACCGTGCTGCGTACTCTGCCGAGTCTTACTACCAGCTCATTACCGCCTGTGCCCGCGCCGGGCGATGCTCCGAGATGCTCCGTCTCTATGAGCACATGGAGCTGAACCGAGTTGTGCCCTACGCCGCCATGTTCCCCGCCATGATCACTTCGTTTGCTGCTACTGGCGACCTCATCAGCGCTGTCGAGGTGTACGACGAGTACCGTGCGCTTGCCATCGCCGACGACAACGGCGACACTTCTCTTCAGGACCGCATGGACTCGCACATTTACGCCGCCGTCATCAATGCCTACGTCATTTCCGACAAGGTTGAGGGCGCCATGAAGTTTTACGAGAAGATCATTCAAGAGTATGGTGTCCGCGCCTCGGACATCAAGGATGCTCTTGTCAGCTCTGGCTTCGTCCAGGCTTTTGTCGAGCGCGGCATCTTCCAGGACGCTCTCCAGTGGGCCCAGCTCATTGAGGGCGAAAACAGTGTCGACAGGTTGAGCGCCATGAACAATGTCGCCACCCGTGCTGCCGACAGTGGTGACAAGTACACTGCCATGACCGCATTCGCGAATGTGCCCCTCAACCACCCCGAGACTGCCACCTCGGCCATGGCACTCTTGGCCATGAGCGTCCGCCAGGGGGATGTCGCAGCTGCCGCTAGGTACTGGCACGTCCTCAGCGCCCCCGAGATGCAGGTGACACCAGCGTTTATTGATCCAGCTGCCATGTTTGCGGTTGCCATGATCGGCTCGGGCCAGGTTGCTGAGGGACTGACCCAGTGCGAGTTCATGTTCCAGAGGATTCGCGCCGTTAGCCCGCAGAGCGCCGAGGAGATTGAGGAGGGTCTTGACTTCATCCACCGCTTCATGGCGGTGCGAGGTATTGTCGATCCCCGTGAAATGGCGTCGCAGGTCTCGAGCGGTCCCCAGCAGGCCTTCACCAACTCTCCCTACGGATCCACGGCAACCGTTCCCAGCTTCGAGGACACCTTTGACCCCTATGCACACAACACCGACTTCAAGGGTTCGTCCATGATCTCTGATGAGCTCGAGGGCAGCCACGGTCGCAAGGGCCCCCGCCTGAACGAGGCTCTATCTCGCTTCCGCAACATGCGCCGGGCGGGCCGCCACCCTCGCTACATCACATACGCCAAGCTCATCTCGGCTGCTGCGCGCGACGGCAAGATGGATCTGTGCCACGACGTTCTCGCCATGGCACGCACCGACGTTCCCATGCTGCCTCAGTATGCAGTGGTCCGTTACGGATGGTCTTCGATTCTCGATGCTATGGTTGGTGCCTGTCTCACCATGGGCAACCGCCACATGGCAGAGCAGTTCCACCAGGAGCTCCTCGAGATGGGCTCGACGCCGTCTGCCAACACCTTCGGCCTGTACATCACCACCCTCAAGGAATCCACCAAGACGTTCGACGAGGCCACCGAGGCTGTCAAGATTTTCCACCGCGCCAAGGCCGAGGGTGTTGAGCCCAGCTCATTCCTCTACAACGCTCTGATCGGCAAGCTCGGCAAGGCTCGCCGGATCGACGACTGTCTGTTCTACTTTGCCGAGATGCGTGCACTCGACATCAAGCCCACCTCGGTCACCTACGGTACCATTGTCAACGCCCTGTGCCGTGTGAGTGATGAGAAGTTTGCCGAGCAGCTCTTCGATGAGATGGAGGCGATGCCCAACTACAAGGCGCGCCCTGCGCCCTACAACAGCATGATGCAGTTCTTCCTGACCACCAAGCGTGACAAGTCCAAGGTTCTCGCCTACTACGAGCGCATGGTGGCCAGGGGCATCATGCCCACGGCACACACCAACAAGCTCCTTGTCGACACCCACGCCACGCTGGAGCCTGTCGACATGGATGCTGCCGAGAAGGTACTCGAGGCAATCCGCGCTTCTGGGCAAAAGCCCGAGCCCGTGCACTACGCCTCTCTGATCCACGCACGAGGTTGTGTGCTCCATGATATGGAGGGCGCTCGCAAGGTGTTCGATGACGTGGTCAAGGATCACTCGATGCCGGTCAATGCCAGCCTGTTCCAAGCACTCTTTGAAGCCATGGTCGCCAACCACCGTGTTGCCGACACGGAGCCGATCCTGGGTCTCATGCGTCGTCGTGGCATTGAGCTGACGCCCTACATCGCCAACACTCTGATTCACGGCTGGGCTGCTGAGAAGAACATTGAGCGGGCGTACGCCATCTACAATGCTGTCGGCCACAGCAAGCGCGAGCCGAGCACATACGAGGCGATGACGCGCGCGTTCCTTGCCACAGAGGAGCGCGAGAAGGCCAAGATTGTTGTTGGCGAGATGCTGTCGCGGGGCTATCCCAGTGCCGTGGTCAACAAGGTGCTGGAGCTGCTTGGCGGTGGCGGTGGTGAGGAGGGCGCAGTTGTTGCGTGAGGGGGGTTGGGATCTCGGAGCGAGTTTTCGATGGCGTGGTTTTTTCCTCTCGCGATTTTCCTTTGTTTTTCGCCCTCGTCTGCCTTGTTTGATACCCCATGAGTGCGATTGGCAGAGGGAACGGAGACTGGGGTGTCTGGGTACGATGGGTGGTACTGCTGGTGTGCGCATCGCAGTGGAGCGGCGCGGCGCCGGCGTCTCCTTGTGTCGACTTGACGTTGCTCGAGTTTTTGTGTATGGCGTTTGCGGAGGGGTAAAACAGTCGCGGCATATACAGCGCGGCGGGGGACGGCGTTCCCGGTGAGGCCTCGCGCCTGGTTAGACCATCTCCCCTATATACAAGCAAAGAGCGTCAGAGGACGCAGCTAGAGGATCGGCGGAGGAGATCATTGCAGATCAGGGATCCTGCTGCTTGTATTATATCGGCAAGCTAATGAAACTTGTTGACGTTCATTTGTATGAATGCATCCTTTGTGACGTATGTTGCTATGCCATGCTTTACTGACATGGTATGGTTGATGTGGTGTTCCATGGGAGCGAAGTGGACCGTGCGGCGCATCCGCACCATCGCGGGGTCTTTTACCCCTCCCCTGTACTGAGTCTTTCATGGCCTCATACTCTCGTCTCATACTTTGCTCCTCGACATCACCGTGACGCCGTCAAACCCAATTGCAAAAGTCGGCATCCACTGTATCCCGCACGTCCAGAGAATATCCATCAGCCCGCCGTCTTGCGTCCTGCCCTCCATCGAACGCAGACGCCAACACAACCCACGATGCCCTCGAAAGCGACCGCCGTCTCCGCCCCGGGCAAGGTCCTCCTGGCGGGCGGCTACCTCGTCCTCGACCGCGGCTACACGGGCCTTGTGTTTGGGCTGAGCGCGCGCATCAGCGTGCTCGCCGGCGAGCTGACCTCTGGCGTCGAGGGCGTGCAGCTGAGCGAGGTTGTCGTGAGCAGCCCGCAATTTGAGGGTGCCGGGTGGCGGTATGGGTTCCGGCTTGGGGAGGGGGGCGTGCAGGTTACGGAGCTGCAGGTGTGAGTGCTTTTTCCTTTTCTCTCTCTTTTTTTTTTTTCTCTCTTTCTTTCTTTTCTTTTCTGCTGGATGCGAGGGTTGTTGCATTTTCTTCGGTGTTTAAGCTACTTGAGAGTTCGGTTGGGGTTGCGTATGCTTCAAGGGGATTTAGCTCGAGTGGGCGATTGGGGATGAGGCAGAGGGGGGCATTTGGACTGCATTTCTTGGCTGGCGAGTGCTGGTCTATCAGGTCTGATGATTGGGATACCTTTCAAGTTCATCATGAGATGTTTGATTTTTTTCTGAGGACGGAAGCTAGACTCTTCGACGGATCAATATCTCAACAATCAGCATACTCATGGGCGCGAGAAGCATCCAGAGGTACGGCTTCTACATAAAGTGCAGTCAAACATTGGTTCGACCGTGCAGCTATCGGTTCAACTATATTCTTCAAACCACGCATGGCCTCAAGCTGACAGTCCAGTGGCGCCTCCATCACACCAAACCCTTTTGTAGAAACAACACTCACCTACGCCCTCACCTACATCCACCAGATTGGTCGCCAAACCAACTCTCACAGCCTCGCCTCCGCTCGTCTCACCATTCTAGCCGACAACGACTACTACACGCTGCCCCCGAGCGCCGTTCCCACGACTGGCCGTTACGCACCCTACCCTCACACCCTCGCCGAGGCGCACAAGACGGGCCTGGGCTCCTCCGCCGCCCTCGTGACCTCCTTCACCGCCGCCCTGCTGACGCACTATCTGCCCACGTCCCTCTTCGACCTCACCTCCGAGGCCGGCCGCCACACGCTGCACAACCTCGCACAGGCCGCCCACTGCGCCGCCCAGGGCAAGGTCGGTAGCGGCTTCGACGTCGCGGCCGCCGTCTTCGGCTCCTGCCGGTACAGGCGGTTCTCGCCGGAGCTGCTCTCGGACCTGCCGGCGCCCGGCACGGCCGGTTTCGCCGAGAAGCTCGTCGCGCGCGTCGACGCGCGCGACGCGTGGGACACGGAGGTCGGCGGCGAGGTGAAGCTGCCAGCGGGCGTCGTGCTGCGCATGTGCGACGTCGACTGCGGAAGCCAGACGGTCGGCATGGTCAAGGGTGTGTTGGCGTGGCGCCAGGCGCAGCCCGAGGCGAGCAAGGCGCTCTGGGACGCCCTGCAGGCGAGGAACGAGGCGCTGGCCGAGGTTCTCCGCGCGGGGCGCACGGCGGCGATTGCCGAGGCCGTCGCCGGCGTCAGGGAGCTCGTCAGGGAGATGGGCGCGGCGAGCGGCGTGCCGATCGAGCCGGAGGGTCAGAGCGAGCTGCTGGATGCGCTGAGCGGCGTCGAGGGCGTGTATGGAGGTGTCGTGCCCGGTGCTGGCGGCTTTGATGCCCTGGCGCTGCTTGTCGAGGAGGGCGCCGAGACCGAGAAGCGGATCGAGGCTTTCCTGGAGGAGTGGAGCGCGAAGAAGGGTGGCAAGGTCAAGCTGCTCCGTGTTCAGGGAGAGGTTGATGGTGTGCGGAGTGAGAGCCTTGATGAGTATGCGGGGTGGATTTAGACATGTCACGGGTGGGAAAATTACATCAGAGCAGAGGATATCCATGTTCACGTAGAGGGTCAGACTACATCGAGCGTATACAGAGCAATGTTGAGCACGCAGATGAGCATCACCAATATCATGTCTCTTTGTGTTCTGAGTAGATACCTCATAAATTGAATACCGCTGCTTTATTGCATACCCGCATCTACATTTCCATCCATCCCTCGAGTCCGCGGGGTCGACCCACTCAGAAGCTTATCGCGATAAGCCATGATTTTTTCTTCATGCGGCAGGACCCTAACATGCTGCGACTGCTCTCGCTGCCACCGCCTGCTTGCTCAACCTCACCACCACAAAGGGCGACGGACAATATGGCGGACGATGGCATGATCCTCAACTTCGCGGTCAGCGATGCTCCCGCGAAGACGCAGGTCAAGTTCCAGGGCGGGAAATGGAGAGATCGCCTCAAGGCGCAACGGAACGCCAATCGATCCTCAACCCCCCAAACAACGAAGCCCACCGAAGCCTTCCCCTCGAGCCAACAACGCTACATCCCCGGCTCGAAGCCGAACCCCTCGAAGCCGAACCCCCGACAGAATGGCGGCGACGGCGACGATTTAGACCAGCGTCCCGCGAAACGGATGCGAGCCGACCCTCACATGCCCTCCTCCTACCAGACCGGCAAGCTGCCGCCCGGAAGCATAGTCATCGGCAAGCGGGAGGGCACTGGTCTGGCCAAGGGACAGGTCACGTCGAAGCTATTCACATCCAATCCCATGGCGCGCACCGTCTTTGACGACCCGAGCGCCGAATCCAAACCCGACGCCGAGCCAGCCCAACCGTCCAATGCACCTCTCTCTGAGGAGGCTGCCAGCTTCCACGCCCTCGGAATCTCTCGCCGCCTGGCTCAGGATCTGTCCGGCAAGGTCAAGCTCAAGGCACCGACGGCCATTCAGGCCAAGGTCATCCCGCAGCTCATCAAGGAGGACAGCGACGCCTTTGTCCAGGCGCAGACGGGTTCCGGCAAAACCCTCGCCTATCTGCTGCCCATTCTGCAGCGCATCCTCGCCGTGGCCGACGAGGGCAAGGTGCGCCGCGACTCTGGGCTCTTCGCCATGGTCCTCGCGCCCACCCGCGAACTGTGCCGACAGATTGATCTCGTGCTGCAGCAGCTGCTCCCGCAGTGGCTCGTCAGCACAACCGTCATCGGTGGCGAGAGCAAGCACTCGGAAAAGAGCCGACTGCGAAAGGGCGTCAACATTCTCATCGCGACGCCTGGCAGACTGACGGATCACTTGGCCAACACGAAAGCCCTCGACGTCGGGTCGGTGCGATGGCTCGTGCTCGACGAAGGTGATCGCCTCATGGAAATGGGTTTCGAAGACGACCTTCGCGAGATTGTCGGCAAGATCCGAGCCGGCGACCTCAGCAACAGGACAAAGGACGGTGTCTCGCTGGAACTGCTGCCCAAGCGCCGTGTGACGGTGCTCTGCTCGGCAACGATGAAGATGGATGTGCAAAGGCTGGGCGAGATCAGTTTGGAGGATGCTGTACACATCACGGCAGAAGACGAGGTAGTGAACGGAGAGGGTGAGGAGCAGCAGCAGCAGCAGCAGCCAGTCGCATTCTCGGCGCCTGCGCAACTCAAGCAAGCACACTACATTGTGCCGGCAAAGTTGCGTCTCGTGTCGCTGATTGCGCTGCTGAAATCGACATTTGCCCGTCGGGGATCTGTCATGAAGGCCATCGTTTTCATGTCTTGCGCCGACTCGGTCGATTATCACTTCGACTTGCTGAAAGAACCGCCCAAGGCCGACAGGAAGACCGAGTCGACGGCTGTCACGGCCAACACTGTAGCCCCTGCGGCTTACCTCGCATCCCCCGCCAACCCCAACATCGTCCTCCACAAGCTTCACGGCTCCCTTCCACAACCCGTGCGGACCGGTACGCTGGCCGCCTATTCGACTTGCACCGAACCTTGCGTGCTCATTACCACCGATATTGCCTCCCGTGGTCTCGACGTGCCCTCGGTCGAGCTCGTCATCGAGTACGACCCGGCCTTCAGCGCCGCCGACCATGTGCACCGTATCGGTCGTACAGCCCGTGCCGGTCGCCCCGGTAAAGCCGTGCTATTCCTGCAGCCCGGATGCGAGGAAGGCTACGTCGACTATCTCACTACAGCGACATCTGTTCCCAAAGCGGAATCGTTCGAGGGCGTCTTGCACCGCGGTCTTGCGACGCACATGCCATTCCCCGTCGACACGGACGCCAAGCCACCACCGGAGGACAGCCGCAGCTTCTCGCAGCGAGCCGAGGCTCTACAGCTACACATTGAGCAGCGTCTGCTCATTCCATCAGGTGCGGCGCTGCTCGAGGCGGCACGCAAGGGCTTCCGTTCGCACGTGCGGGCTTACGCGACACACACCAAGGAGGAGCGGAAGTTCTTCGACATTACCGAGCTGCACCTCGGACACACAGCCAAGAGTTATGGACTGCGCGAGGCGCCGCAGGGCGTCGGACGTGGTGGGCACGATGGCAAGAAGACGGCCATGAAGGCGGCGGCGTCGAAGAAGAGGAAGCAGGGCGCCGGCGACTCGGCACGCGAGAGTCTGTTCGATGCCGACACGGACCTGGCCGAGATGGAGAGGAGGATGAAGATGAAGATGAAGACCGTCATGAACAGCGCAAGCGAGTTCAACATTGGATAGGCAAAATGCGCAACCGGTGTCAGTCAGCATGGTCAGTTTCATCCCTGGCCATGGCCCCTATGGCATAGTGCAAAAGGTAGTGAGTGCATGCATGCATGGAGTACGGCGTATGGAGCGGGTCGAGCAATCTCATATAGCATGTCGTCTTGCCGGAATAGCCATGTCTTTCATCGCGGGTGTTCATGCTATTCTTCCCAAGTGACATGGTGGTCTACGTCAAGACGTACAAGACACATCAAGCTTCTTATGTGCATGTGAAGCAACTCAAAAGGATGCACGATACGACCCCCTTGACTCGAGACTAAATGCGAATCATGCATGATTTTTTTTTTCCCTGCCATGGTTCCCTGCCATGGTTCCCTGCCATCGGCCAACCCACACATGGACATGGACAACGGTCTAGACCAACATTATTCAATGGAGATGAATTTCCAGGCGTTGCCCAGCACCTCATCCCGACAAACCATATCACCATTACCAAGAAAAAAAGACTCGACTGGTGCGTCCCAATCCTCAGACCATGATCACTTCTCACGTCGTCGGCAGCCGTCCGACATTTCTTCCCCCGCGGAGTCTTCCCGCCATGTCGACGTTCAGCAGGGCGATCGCGCCATCTGCCAGCAACGCCCTCAATTCGACCATGGGTCGCTTCATTCTCCACAGGCACGAGTCGGGCGACCCGCCGATCAGACCCTTGAGCCCTTTGTGATTGGCAGCCGTCGGAGCGGGCACGATATCGAGACTATGGCGAGCTTGGTGCCGTGCTGTGAAGCTAGCTGGTGGCGGTTGGTCGATCTTGTGATAAGAAGGGTCTTCGGCCGTGGTCGTTGTTGGTGATGATGGCTCGAGACGACATCTTGTAGCCTCCATACCAGAGCACAGTCGCTGCCCGAGCCCAAGCAGCATGGCCATCTCACCATCGGACAACGCGGCACAGGCCCATGATGTCGCCGATTCCTACGGCAACACGGTCGATGCGCCGACGTACGACGACGCGACAGCCGAACCCGAAGTCACGGGCGTCTTCAAGCACATCGCCAAGGTCATCCCCTACTTTCGCAACCCGCGCCATGTGCTTGTCTTCAAGCTCGATGTCTTCCTGCTCGCCTGGATGTTCCTCGCCGGTATCATGAAGGAGATGGACCAGAGCGCGACGACGCAGGCCTACGTCTCGGGTATGCGCGAGTCGCTGTCGCTCTACGGCAACGAGCTCGTTCTCTTCAACACCTTTTTCAGCATCGGCTATGCCATTGGCCTCGTGCCGGGCCAGCTCATCCAGACACGCTTGCGGCCGTCGCTCTTTCTGCCCTTCTGCGAGATGGCCTGGGGCTTCTTTGTGCTCTTCACCTACAAGGCCAAAAGCGCCGAGACGGTCTACGCGCTGCGTTTCTTCCTCGGTCTGCTGTCGGCCGCCTTCTGGCCCTCGGTCGTCGCCCTCATCTTCAACTGGTACACGCCGCGCGAGCTCGCCGTGCGCCTGGCCGTCTTCACCGTCTCGGACGTCGCAGGCGCCATGTTCCTCGGTGCCCTCCAGGCCGCCCTCTACCGCAACATGGA